CTGAGAAAAGATTTGTCAGATGTGGGTACAGAAGTTTCAGCCCAGACAATAAGACGCACACTGCGTAATGAAGGCCTCCGTGCCAGAACTCCCAGGCGTACCCCCTTGCTGTCTCCAAAGAATAAGAAGAGTATGCCAAAAGCCATGTGGACAAACCACAAAAGTTGTGGGATAGTGTTCTGTGGACTGATGAAACAAAATTAGAACTGTTTGGGCCCATGGATCAACGCTATGTTTGGAGGAGGAAGAACAAGGCCTTTGATGAAAAGAACACCTTGCCTACTGTGAAGCATGGTGGAGGGTCAATCATGCTTTGGGGCTGTTTTGCTTCTGCAGGTACAGGGAAGCTTCAGCGTGTGCAAGGTACCATGAATTCTCTTCAGTACCAGGAGATATTGGATGGAAACGTGATGCAGTCCGTCACACACCTGAGGCTTGGGAGACGTTGGACCTTTCAACAGGACAATGATCCCAAGCATACCTCCAAGTCCACTAGAGCATGGTTGCAGAGGAAAGGCTGGAACATTTTGGAGTGGCCATCGCAGTCACCAGACTTAAATCCGATTGAGAACCTCTGGTGGGACTTAAAGAAAGCAGTTGCAGTGCGCAAGCCTAAGAATGTGACTGAACTGGAGGCCTTTGCCCATGAAGAATGGGCGAAGATACCCGTAGATCGCTGCAAGACACTTGTGTCAAGCTATGCTTCACGTTTAAAAGCTGTTATAACTGTAAAAGGATGCTGTACTAAGTACTAAGATTGAATGTCACTTGGGGGTTGAATAAAACTGATAATGCTGTGAGCACAGAAAAGACATTTGTGGTTATTTCATTATAACTGTTATGTTATATTTGTCTGACCTACAAGTGCCTCTTTAATGTAAATGTAAGCAAGATGACTGAATGATCAAAAGCAATGTCAAACTGGCCAAAACACTCAATTTCAGTGGGGGTTGAATAATTTTGGTCACAACTGTAGGAAACTGGGACCAAACCCAAATTTAAAGTAGGATTTATTTACAGTGAAACCAAAATCCATCCAAACACCTGCAAACAGCAAACAAAGATATAAGTGAATCAAAAACCCAGTGACAAATTACCTAACTAAATAACCTAACATAGCAACAGAAATCCTAACTAGCGAACAAACTAAACTAAAAAAATTGTATAACAATTTCCGTATGAGGAACGGTCAGCCTATTGTCTGATCATTAGTATAGTGCTTTCATCAGCCGATTTTGACTTTTCAGATGAAAAAACTGAGGGTGCAAGCTAGAAAATTTTTTTCATATGTGAACACAACATCTGCTTTTTGTTTAATGTGTACAGTATTCGTACGGAAATAATCGTAAAAAACGTGCGCGATGAGAATCATGGGGCGACCCTACACCTCTTCTACGACGTTAGTGCATAGCTACATTTGTCTATGTTTGCCTTTGTTGGCTGGTATCGAGTCAATACCATTCTGACTACATCATGATACACTTTTGTGGAAAATCATTCGGTCGAGCGTACAATTTTCTCATAGTGTGTACTAGACTTAAGACTCTAACTTGCTGCTATTACACACAAAGCCAGCCCATGAACTACACTGTAGGAGAGCCTTCCATGTGAGTTTCTAATCCCACTATCAGCACCCATGTGGGAGACACACACAAGAGGGTGCAAACACCTCGTGCATTACCACCATAGAATTTATTCCAACTTTAAAGACAAATGGGTACTTACAAACAATTAAAAATGTCAGGCATACAACATGAATGTACCAGCCTAGGATGATGTGTCCCATAGTGAAAACATCTGGTCAGAAAGTTAACGTGTTTCGGGAGTCAAGCCCCCCACCACAGCACTGCAGCTCTGAGGAAGAGGGCTTGACTCCCGAAAAGCATTAGCTTTCTGACCAGACGGTTACAGGATGGGACATGTCATCCTAGACTGATACATTCATGTTTTATGTCTGCCATTTTTAATCATTTGTAAGTATCCATTTGTCTTTAAGGTTGGAAAAAACTGTATGGTGGTAATGCACAAGGAGTTTGCATCCATTTGTGTGTGTTTTTACAGTTGATTGGAGTTTTTCTGTTCTGTTGAGGGCTGCACCCGAGAAAGAATTCTACACCACAGCACATTGTAAAGCACCCTGCATTGAAAACTTAAGTATTTATTGAGGATCCATGTGGGAGACACCTGCTGGTGGACACGAGAACTACAACCTACCACTCTGGGAACACCAGATGTGATCCAGGTAATAGTGTACTCCCAGAAAGGGCGTGCTGTGTAACTTACTTTCCCTTAGCTTTCTTCATTACCAATTAAATTCAAGCTTTCATCTGAAGTTTTCATCTAATTGGTGACTGTGGGAATTGTCCGAGTATTTTTTCATTTTTTTTTTATATTCAACTTTCCCTGGGTGAGAGACAGAGAATAGGGTGGTTCCAACATCACTAGCAGGGGTCTTCCAGGGCCAACAGATCACTCATTAAAGGAAGAGGGGTGGACTGGTGCAGTAAAGCAGTGTAAAAGTAAGAAAATGAATTGCTCAGCAGTTAGACAGAGCTGTCTGTACACAAGATTTCATTTTCAGTTTTGACTGGAGCGTACCTTAATGACGTGCAAAGACATTACCTAATCTTGGCAAGAGCTCTTCTGGTGTGTGAAGTTTTATTGAATCCAGGTGTAAATGTTACAGTAGTCAGCTATAAATCTGTCAAATATTAAATAGAACTTGTTATTAAATGCCATTTCATATGTATGCTTTATACTATTGATTAACCTGGAGCCATTTATATTTTAAATAAAATACATGCAGTTCCACTCAGTTAAAATCGTAAATCATCCCAAGGCATTCTTTGATTTTATTCAGTTTCTTTGATTATTAAACTTTTCTGTGAATTTTGTGGTACTGTATGAAAATCAAATCAGCAGTTATTAAAATATCAAGTGCTCTAGGTAAACCAAATTGCTACTTTATTCATTCACCATATGTTACAGTTGTAAATCTGCACTGCTATTTTTAGTTGTTTAACTTCAATATTGTGAGCCATAGCATAGGATAATGAAGATGAGATTTGCACTGAGAAAAAATCTGTAAGAAATGATCATCCATGGAGTAAGGGTACCCACATATATCCAGTTTTCTGTTAGCAATGCTTGGGTAGTATGGTGGTTGAGTGTCCAGCACCATGCCCATCTTCTGAGTGGAGTATCAACCAGTCAAAAGCAGGAACTATGCAGCACACTTTCCAATACTAGAGGAAAAAGTGCAGTTCTATGCACGTGGAGAGGAATTGCTGGAGTGGTAGGTGATGGGAATATAACTGCTGAAGAAATGCTGCTCAGAAATTGAGGTTGCTGGGTGATAGGTACTGGAGTTGGAAAGGTGGGCATGTACTGGGAGAAGCAATATATCTGAATTGATGAAATGCATAGGACAGGATCCTTAGAGACGTCATGTAGTAAATGCCCCCCCCCCCCGAGATGTTGCACACTGCTGCAACCCTAACAAGAGAGACAGGGGATCTGTGTATATTATTATGAGGAGAGAAATGTTTACTGTTGGGGATGGGGATATGTATTGTATATTCATTTGTGTGTGAGAGAGGTGTGTATACTGTATACTGTTGCAAAACCTCCAAATAAGAAGCCTCAAGGTCCCCAAAAATGTGTTACTATTATTAAGTAAACCAGGAGTCCCTAGTCACCAACATAATGAGAAACTACATAAAAGTATGGCTAGTTGTGGATATCCAAAATATTGGGTTTGTTTAAATGTATTCATATTGGAAAAACAAAAATTCAAAAAGGGCTGGTGGTCAGTGGCATACAATCATTTATTTATTCAACATAGACATTTCTAAAAACAGAAAAAATCATACCACACTCCACAGGTCCCGGGTAAAAACCCCCGAAGGGGAGTACCCATCAATAAACAGATCATTTGATAACAATAATATCTTTCACCATGAATAATGCTCCATATACAAAATTACAGTAGTATATAGCAGTCTTGTGACTTTTATCAGTGTCCGTCTGAGTAGTGGTTAAAGCTTGTAGGAGGAGTTTTAATTCTGCTCTGACTGTCCTATGAGGCTGCATAACTCCTGACCCTCTGTCTGGACAGTGCTGATTGCTCCTTTGCTGATCACATGCACCCTCCTAAAGGAAAAACAAACTCTCTAGCAATAAACACTAAACTGATCATGTGCAGAGTGACTTCTAGAGCTCTGTACTATCAGCAGATGGATTAGGGACAGTAGAAGAAGTGGAGAATCAGAGAAGACAGGATCAAACAGCCTTTTTACACAATGTGGAGGAATATGTGAGGATTAACCCTTTAGGTTCCACAGTGAGCATAACAAGCAAGCTTTACTGCATATAGAGACTGATTTTACTGTTGTGGGTTTAGTGACACTTCAAGCCTTGACTGATCTGATTGAAATTCCGGACTAAACAGTTCAAAAAGAGATGACTGCAATGTATTATTCTCTAGTGCATTAATTCAATCTTGAGCTATTTAATTCTGTAAACAACAGGCTTTAAAAGAGAAATAGAAGAAAACGTTAGAAAAGAAGCTGAGATCTTCCCGATAGCCAAAAGCTATGAATACACTAGATATGTGTGACTTGTTTCCTTACTAATCAAAATTCTGACAAAGGTTTCACCATTCGGAGATTCAGATATATCCAAATTTCACAATCACAATAGTAACAAATTTCAACAAATCCAAAATATATTACAACAAAATGAATTCTCCAAATTCAAATTTGAAAATGAATATGAACTTGAAACTGAATCCGAAAATGAATTTGAAATAGAAACATATGGCAATACATACAGTAAGGTATACAAGTGAAATAAGATGATGATGATTCCTACTTAGGCTCCTTTAACCACCTCCAGCCCGCTATATAGTCCAATGATGGCTGCAAGATGGTTCTCTCGTTCTAAGAGGACGTCATATGACGTCCTCCCATTCTCACCAGGCATGTGCGGCTCAGGGAGAGGTGCGCTGTGTTCCTCGGACACAGCGGATCACCGATCACGGAAAGAGCCGAAGATGTCGGCTCGGTCATGTGATCAGCTGTGTCCAATCACAGCTGATCACATGTAAACATGGAAATGCCGGTTATCTGCATTTCTCTCCTCTCGAGCTGTCACTCTGACAGCTCGATAGGGGAGGAGAGCCGGTAATCGGCATTCCTCGGAGGGGACATGTACATTGATCATCAGGGCACTGATGATCAGTGTAGCCCCAGCAGTGCCACCTGTCAAAGTCCATCAGTGCCAGCTGTCAGTGCCGATCAGTGCCACGTGCCAGTGCCTATCAGTGCCACATCAATGCCACACATCAGTGCATACCAGTGCACATCAATGCCACATATCAGTGCCCATCTGAGCTGCCTTTCAGTGTCATCCATCAGTGCCAGTCAGTGCCACCTATCAATGCCAAGCAGTGCCACCTATCAGTGCTGCCAACCAGTGCCACCTATCAGTGCCAGTCAGTGCCGCATATCAGTGCCTGTCAGTGCTGCCTATCAGTGTGCATCAGTGCCACCTATCAGTGCCAGTCAGTGCTGCCTAACAATGCCAGTCAGTGCCACCTATCAGTGCCAGTCAGTGCCGCCTAACAGTGCCAGTCAGTGTCGCCTAACATTGCCATATATCAGTGCCATATATCATGCCATGTATCAGTGCTGCCTTTCAGTGCCCATCAGTGATGCCTGTCAATGCCCATCAGTGCCACCTACTAGTGCCTCCTCATCAGTGCCCATCAGTGCAACCTATCAGTGCCCATCACTGCAGCCTCATTAGCGCACATCAGTGAAGGAGAAAAGTCACTTATTGACTAAATTTTATAACAAAAACTAAGAATAAATGTTTTTTTTTTCAAAATTTTCAGTGGTTTTTGGTTTGTTTAAGAAAAAATAAAAAACCCCGAGGTGATTAAATACCACCAAAAAAAAGCTCTATCTGTCACAAAAAAATGATAAAAATGTCTCATGGGTACAGTGTTGCATGACCGCGCAATTGTCATTCAAAGTGCGACAGCGCTGAAAGCTGGAAATTGGCCTGGGCAAGAAGGGGGTATAAGTGCCCAGTAGGCTAGTGGTTAAAGAATAGAAAATAATAGAATAGAGTAGAAAATAAAAGGCTAGAATATAAAAGAATGGAAAAGAACAGAATAAAACAGAATAGAATATAAAATAAAGGAATAGAAAAGAATACAATAAAACAGAACAGAATAAAAACTAAAGGAATCGAATAGAAAAAGAAATAAAATAGAATAGAATGGAAAATAAAAGAATAGAATATAAAAGAATAGAGTGATGTAGAATAGAATATAAAAGAATAGAAGAAAATAGAATAGATGTGAATAGAATCGAATAAAATAGAACATATATAGCGGTCTTCCAAAATGCAAAATTCAAATTTCAAATCAATTTGAAAATGAATATACGAAATGAATCCAAATATATAAAATGTATCCCTAAAATGAATCATTCTAACATAACGAATACGGCTAAATGAAATTATCTTAAGAAACGAATCCAAAATGAAACACATTTTTCCGTCATGCACATCTTTAGAATACACAATATTTCATGTTTACTGAATATAAAAGAATATATATTTTTTAGTCCTGTCTATAAAAAAAAAAAAGAAGAAAGAAAAGCAAGTAAAGTTCCTCCAAACATTCCATTTATTGGGAATTGTCAATAGTAGCACAATAATTTGTTCTGCCTGAATCGTAGTAATATGTTTGAATTCAAACATTTGCTACCTTGATTGTATCCTTCATATAGGGCTGGCAGTTAGGAAAATTAACTCATGCAAAACTGAGCTTATTTAGAGGGTTAACAAAGAAAAAGACTGTTTAAGTCAGAGATCATCTGTAGTATAATTTTCCAAAAGGCATTTGTTTTTTGTTTTTTTACAACATTGTTATTATATTATACGGAGATAACGACATCAATCAATATGATGTTGAAGGCCATTAAGCACTGTTCTCAATACTCTGCATATTGAAGGTTATTATGGTTAGTTGCAATGGATTGTTCTTCTATCCATATAAGCCTTACACGTTCTAAGTGTGTTCTGAGGGTAATCAGTACATATAATCCTTACTACATAACTGGAGTGAGACGCTCCAGGTATGAGAAACAGATATTTACAGAGTGATTTTGACAACCTAGCAAATGTCCCTCTTTTTGATCTTATATGTAGGTCAGCACTGAAAGTATCCTCCCCTCTCTGTTTCCTATATTTTCAACACCAGTTCTGTGCAGCAAATGTACAGCTCTTTGAAGTTTGTAGCTGTGTATAACACGTCGTGCTTTATGCTAATCTATATCCAAAAGATTAGCAGGTTGCACGCTCACATGTTAGGATGGCCATATATACAGAAAAGAGAGAAAAGTGCTTCATGGCAAAAGGGGAGTGAATTTGTAGCTGTGTAGTGTGGTTGGCCATAAACACAAATGAAAGAACACCCATAGGAGGAATGCTTCCAATTGTTAACGGCAAATTTTGCCCATGTGAGGTAAGAGACCCCTTTGTTTTGCTTTCGGAGATGAAGCTTGCAATTAAACCTTGTAGGCACTGATTAGTGCCCTCCATTTTCCTATTAGCTTGGGGTCGATTTGAATGAGAGACAAATAGATCAATTTCCAACTGACAACAGAAGGCCTTTCAAAAATGAGAGATGAATAGAGATCTTCAGTTTGAAAGAATGTTTATTAGAACAACATAAAGCCTAACAATCTCTTGTATGTAAAGGGTGGACAGTTGTTTTACAGAAGGCAGCTTTGGTAATGCCAAGAAATGGACCATGTTACAAAATGGTAGACTGTCATTGAAATGACAGTCTTGCCCTCAAAGGGAGGTAAGTGAATGATAACATCCATTGAGAGATGAGCCCATGGATGTTCAGGAGCAGGTAGCAGTAAAAGTTGGCAAAAAGCTAAAAGTCCTGGAAGATATTGATCATGCACAGCTCTCGCAACCTCTGACCTAGGCCATAGCTTCCTTCCTGAAAGATGGTCATCAGACAAAACTGGAGAGAAAAGGAATGGTGTTGTGAATGCCTGGATGGCAAGCAGACGTCATCATGTGGCTTTTGAAAAATAGTGAATCGGAGTTAAGGACAACAACCTGTTGGCAAGGGCATTGCCAGGAACATAATTTTCAGCCACCTGGACCAGAGATTAAAGGTAGGAATAAAGAGTGGCAATGTCCTGGGCAAAAGGGAGAATGGGGTGTTCCTCATAATAGGAAGCTGAGCACTGTTTGAAACTTCTGAAAAGAGTATCTACCTTAACATTCTTAGAACCTTGACAATAGGTCATGATGAAACTGAACCTGAGGGAACACCAGACCTTCCAGCAATTCAGGGGCTCTTGTGAGCCATACAGATTGTAAATGGATATTAGATCCCCTTCATCCAATATTGCCACTGTCCCAAGGCCCTTTTCATGGCCAGTAGCTCTCAGTTGTCATAGTTAGGCTCAGAGGGGGAGAATTTGCAAGAAAAGAATGCACAATAATGCAATTACTGTTAGAGGCACATTGTGACAAGACAGCTTTTGCCCCAGTCTTAGAAGCATCATCCTCCAATGAGAACAGCAATGCAGGGTCTGGATGCCTAAGGATAGCAGCTAAAATGAAAGCTCTATTTAATACTTCAAAATCGTAGATTGCTTCTAGCGAGCACAATTTAGGATTATCTCCTCCATTGGTAAGTTTAGTCATAGGCACTACCAGGGTTAAGAAGTCTTAGATAAACCTTCTGTAAAAATAAGCAAAGCCAAGCATTCAATAGAAAAAAGATCCATAGGCAGTGGCCACTGAAAAATGGCCTGGACGTTAGCAGGATCCATGACTCAGCCAGTGTTTGAGATAATGCACCCCAATGGGACCTCGAGTAGCATGAAAAACATTATTTCCAGTTCGGCATAGAGAGTGTTTACAAAACTTGGTCAAAGCTGCTTCAATATGATGTTCACGGTTTGCCAAAAGACCTGCCAAAAACCCCCACCCGAGAATGAGCTTGCAGAAAATCTAGACTCCCTGGATGCAGTTGAATAGCTTGCTCATCAAAGAGAGTGAGTACTGGTTGGGAACAGTAATACATTTATGTGTCTGCAGAATTCTGCTGTTTGTTACAGTCCACTATATCTCCCTCCTTCCTGAAGAAGTGGTTATCTTCCATGATACATGCAGAGAAATTCAGGAATTGCTCCCTTGGATACCCCATTGTTGATTTCAACAATTTCAATTTCAACATGGAACTGTTTAAAGCTAGATATTGAGAGTATATACTTTAACTATATTTTTCTTTTAGTGTGTATACACATAATATCAAATGGGTTTCCAAGGAGGGTTAGTTGTATGAAGGAATGTTCCTGTCAATAAGCAATGTGATTCACAGGAAGGTTTTTAACCATTTCATGGATTTTATCATGGTTTATATAAAATTTGGAGGTTTTTTTTAATGTCATTCAGTAGATCCTTGAGCACCATCAAAAGTCCAATTGTTTCAAAACTTGTTTACATGGGAATAGTAATGCAATTCAGGTCTATAGTCAATACATAACCTGAAAGTATCATCTTTTTCTCCACAAAAAAGAAGTCTGCACCAGCAGGAAAAGTGTAAGGGCGAATTAATTGTTTTTGCATGTTTTCCTCAATGTAATCATGGCCTGGTTTTCAAGTTTTGAGGGGGGTAAACTTGCAAGATCAAAGGGCAAGCCAAACATCGTAGAAGAAGAATGAGATCTGCTTTTGATGATGAGTTCTTAGGGTAAGTAATAGCATGGGAGAAAGGAGGTTGACCATATCTTGGGCTAGCAGATGGTTGTTGATAGCAACCAGGGAGAATGAGGGAACAACCAGAACAAGAGGAAGCTGATGCTAAGAGGCTAGAAGATTGTTTATAAAATATCGACTGGCCTGGGTCCACAAAGGCAGAGAAATTATTAAGAAGTATTGTTAGGAGTTTGGTAAGTAATGCAGGTAGGGACAAATAACTTGTTATGCTTCTCAAGGAGACTAGCAAGGCCTAGAGAAGTTGTCCCTGTTCCACTAGGCCTTCACATTTCCCAATTTGTTTATTATTTACATAACAGCTCACAAATGTCCCTTGGTATCACAATAGAGACAGCGGCCAAACTTCCTCCTGTGTAGCTTCTCCTGAGCAGAAAGGCGAGTGGCCCAAATATGCATTGGCTCATCCACTGAAACCCAGCCTTTCCTTTAAGTATGCCTACCAATACTTGGATGCCCCCAGGACTTAAAATGCTTGTAAACCCTTACATATACACTGTGAAGTGACTGGCCTCAGGTGATACACAGAGATTAAACAGCCTCCTACTAGTTGTACTTGTTTATCTGCAGATGTCACTTCTCTACATCCGTTCAAAGTGCTGAATTTTAAAGCTTATCTGAGAGCTCAGATAAAAGGGGGCGGAGGCCTGAAATTATACTCTGCAGAGCTCAGTGAAGGAAGCTCTGAGCGCTGATTGGAGAGAAGATACACTTACTCCTCCACACAGCTCACAGGAACAGAG